TTCAACCCATATGTCACCTTCAGAGGTACTAATTGCCTTTTTCCTCCAGTCTCAGAGGCGTGACTGTATCCAGTAAAAAGGTACCAAATGTTACATAAAAGCATCTTTCAGTCCAAACCAGTAATGGGGAAGAAGAACCTTCTCTACCTTGCAGGTCAGCTTTGGTCAACTCAACTTTGTTAGCAAAAACAAAAACGAAACAAAACAGAAAAGCAAAAACAATAAACAACAGGTTAGTATAAAGATAGATAAACCAGGGTGCCATCACTTTAAATAAATAAAAGTAATTAGTGTAACACCATCACAACCAATGCACATAATCAATACATGCAGGAAGAACAACATAAGCAACAAGGGCACTGAGGGACACGGCTACCTTTACTCATTACCACTTTAACAAAAGCAAAAAACAAGCAACAAATAAAACCACGAGAGGGAGGAAATGCATTTAATTCACACACAGGGACACACAATTTACAGAGTAGGAAAAGGAAAATATCACATTTTTAACAATAATTCTTCTGCATCTACTGATACTTTAGATTTTGCTTCATTTGAGAAATACTTGGAATCCATTTATGTATAAAAATCTACTTGACTTTCAGAAGAGTAGTCACGAATATTTTTGTTTTGTTTCTACATCCAAACTCAAGAACTGAACATAAATTTGCTGTCTGTCATAAGAGCATAGACTGTCTTGGCTCTTTGGACAAAGTGGATTCACTGCCAGCAAACCATAGGAGATTGATAATTCTGGAAGAAGATAACCTTTGTTTAGCCCCAGAACTGAACTTAACAGCGTATGGAAAGTGACAGTAAAAAAAAACCAAAACAACAACAAAACAGGCTTTCTTCTCATAAGCTGTTTTATGCTCAGAAATTTCAATATGCTTTTAAAAAAGCCTGCATCATCAGGTAAACAGACGACTCCTTGAGCTTTAAATCCATGCAATCTTTGGCAATCTCATCAGAGCAATCAACAGATATAACAGCAGTGCAAGCTCATTTCTTCCTATAGGCAAACATGATCTTATTATCAGTGGTAAAATCATAGCAAAAGAGAACAATGAAGCTAACAAGACTTACTGGAGATCAACTATAAGCTTGCCATAAATTGCAGAGTATAAAAAAAGCAAAACAGAATAATACCACTGATAGTCTTTTATTGGGCACAGATTTTTTTTAATTTTTATTTTTCTGCAAATGGAGAATTCATATTATGAGAAAGTCATGTAGATTTTTGGTTTCTACTACAGTGATTTTAAGTTTTCTTTTTCAGCATGGAAAAAGTATGAGGACAAAGATGGGAATACGGGCAGCAAATCCTGAATCCCCTGCCAATGAAGGTTACACATTTTTTATCATACATCACAATGGGAACAACAAAACACCCAAATACTGACCTGTTATGGTTCAAAAGATGGATATTTAAGAACTACATACTTACCCCTTTGTATCACCCTGTTCTTATAAAGTTCTAATATTAATTACTGATACTGAAGAGAGATTGGTAGCTCTCACTTTTATTTTCTCGTTTTACATTAAAAACCTTAATAAACTTCAACTGGCATGCACAGATGCAAATTTTGTGCTTCGTATGAAGTTTAACAACTTTGAAATGGGAAGAGTTTCTCCCACTTCTCTATACATCTTTCTAGACACATTCTAAGAGAGTAATTGGTGTGTAACAAACAAGCACTTTTTTCACCTGCCCACTTCCTCATCTTCTTGATGGCTGAGCAGGAACAAAACTTACATTTGTTCCCTAATTCCAGTAACAAAGTAACAATGGAATACAAAATCATAAAGAATAGGAGAACTGTCAAACTATCATGGAGTAAACAAATGCTCCTCTCCTCACTGGACGAACTCTGATTCTACAGAGAAAAGTGAACCATCACCAGATTCAAAGTTTCACTACTGAGTAGATGATGAGTAAAATCCTTTTTGACATTATCTTGCTGTGAGATTTTAAGCATGAGATTAGATTTCCTTTTTTTCCACACTCTGCTTGTTACACAAAATGTGTTTCTGATTATCCAGCCTGTGTCATTCATGCTTCTCACACACCAGTGAATTCAAAAGGTTAACTACAATATTTTAAGGAAAGCAGCACAACATTTTTATTTTACTGCAGGATTTGGAAGAAGATTAAATAAGGACAAAAGTCCCAAAACATCTGGAGCAAAATCACCATCTGGTTAAGGAATAATAAATCTCATTTGTGAGAAGCTGTTTTCAGTGGGACAGGTAAGGAACAGAAGCAACATTTCTAAGACACAAAGGAAATTGCTTTGTAAAAAAAAAAAAAAATGTTCTTTAACCACTGCCATTAGTGTTTGGCTCTGTTTTGTGGGGAGAAAGAGGGAAATGATATAATTTAGAATTTCAGATAGCTCTAGAGCCTGTAGTAAGCAGCACAATGATATACAAATAAAAGAAAAGAAAACATAGGAGAACAAATGGGAAATGAGCATAGAGAAAAAGGAAAACCATCCCAACTGCAAGAGGTAGCCACTAACAGTTAGGGTAATATTCACTCTTTTGTGGAGTTTCAGACATCTACTTAACTTCTATCAGGAACAGTGATGAAAAAGCACTAAGTCACTTAGTCTTGATTGTTGTGGATGGAATAAATTCTGATTCATCCATTTGCTTACTACTAAGAGCAGGAAATGAGACAACTCAGCAAATGAACCTGATTAGAAATCTAGACTCAAGGAAGAGATGACTTGAAGTTTGTACTGATTTACTTTCTGGGAAGGCAATAAGATCATCTGGAATAACTTCCTCCATCTGCCAACTCTAGCTTACACTCCACAGTGCAGAAATCTTTTATCTCAAGCTCTCCAGCACCACTCATAGTGCATGTCTAACACAAATGGAAATTGTTAGAACAAGCACATGATGAGATAAAGATATAAAGAATGCTGCAATTCAAAAATCAAATGAAACAGTCATCTGGTAACATTTTTATTATTATTACTTTAGCAAATCCTAAATGCATTGGCAAAAAAAAAGTCAGCCTTTCCAGCACTTCCCCTGGTACCGAACATGGACAATTCAGGAAAAAAAGCAAGGGTGTTAAATTGCAAGAGTAAGTTCTAGCAGAATGAAGGCCATAATTCACCTTCTTATCTACTTTTTAGGTTTATAGCTGCCTCCAACTTGAACCTTGTTCAAGTGCTTTATAAGAGAAGGGAAACGCTCCTTACATTTATGAGAGTGAAATAATCCCCACATCCAGGCAGCTACGCTGCAGGTACTAGATAGTTATGCATACAAAATAAGTGCCACCTTACATGACCATATGCTGACATTAAGTAGTCCTGGATATTAGGAGACTAAGGAACTGCACTGTGTACAAGAAGAAGGAAATCCAATAGCTCTTACAATGGTGTCAAGTCTTCTGGGAAATATTCCATTCTGGAGGCACACCCAGAACAACAGATTCATCTAATGAGAAATCCTTGAAAGAGAAAGACTACTGACTATACAGCCAACCAATTAAGCTAGTTTTAAATAGAAGAATTACCAGAAATCACTAATGTTAAAGAGGAGCTTTTAGTGCACTGAAGGTAATCGGAAAAGACATTTTCAAAAACCCCAAATGGATTATTTTTTTTTTCCTCGAACCTCAGAAATAACACCACAGCAAAGATACATTTCTTCTTTTAGCAATGTAGCTCAGCTACAAATGGGCAAAGCCACAAGTTCTGTTATACTAAGTTCACTTCCACAAGGAACAGTGTGGTTAACACTTAAAAGCTGCAGAAAGGCAGAAAGAAGAACAGCATAAAGCAGTGCAGAATTTACCAATACTGTGAAATTGGAGTTGACATTGATTGGGCTCTCACAAACTAGAGTATTATTGTGGGAGTGTGGCAACAGGGCCAAAGTGCAGGAGTTCCCAGCCAACCGGAAGGCATATAAACGATTAAGAGATTGGATTTAATTGCAATGCCAATTTGGTTTTTCTTGGGTACTTAAAGATGGCTCTAAGATGGCACTTTGAGTCCTAGGAAGGGACAGTCTTGACAAGTGTCAATATATCAATATGACGTAACCTGAGATCTTGACATGGTTCATTTGGTAAATTCATGTCTGTGAAGACCAGTTAGGAAAACATCTTGAACATGTAAACTATAAATCTCTCCTGATAAAATCTATTTTCCTCTAGTGAATAGTAACCAACATAGCAGATTGGTGTTCAGTGGAGCTAGACACAATCATGACTTTCATTTAACCCAACCAGCAGAACCCTGGACTTTTTTATGCCAAGTATCCCATATGCTATGGGAATTGATAATAAACATGTGATTGCTGATGATGTCAATATTATTTTAGAAAATGGCAACTAAACAAGAACAGTAAATTATTCAAAAGAAGCTTCAAGAAACCACTGCTCTTTACAAGCTTCAAGAAGTCACAACACATTTGTTTCCATAAAAAAAAGTTTTCCAGGTGGTAGGACAACGTTGGGGAACAGCCTCAAATGCTTTTATTGAAAACCCACTTCCTCAACAAAGAATTTCTGTTATAGTGTGATCTTCACCCTTCGATTACTAACACTCCTGTCCATTTTCCTTATCTCTACCTGGTCCTCAAAATAATTATTTATGCAAGTGTCAAAAAGAAATAGAGAAAGAGGACTTTCTCAAGCACTAGTGAACTACAGGTTCAAGTTTTCTTTCATAGTATTAAGACATTAATAAATTACTCTAAGAATAGCACAAGAGTAGTCCAACTCAGTACTAGCCCTTCTATTTCTGGAAACACTTCATAAGGTACTAATAGTCAAGAGAAAAGCTGATGATGAGGCAACTTATAGTCTCCCCATGGAAACACAAATGTGTGGAAACACAAATGGATTGCAGCAAAGGATTTCTTGAAGAAAGCAAACTAATGAAATAGACTATAAAGTAGACAAATAGATGCACAGGAGGCAGTAAAGAAGAGAAGAGCACGTGAGAGGGGAACCACTCTGAAATCAGTCATACCTTCACATCCACGTTCAATCTGCCCACTGCGGTGCAGAGCGTCATTTATTAGATCAGGCAGACGCCCATTCAAGTCCACAGATGCTAGACAGCCCTGAAATCCGTCACGTGAGGCCACTAGCTTTGGAAGGTTGCTGTACATGCCTTGAGCTAGACCAGCAATGTAGAGATCACCTGCAGGAGAAAAGGGTAAACATACAAGAAGTTACATAACTTTTAAATTGGCTTTTCCCCACTCCCAAAATTAGTGAGTCAAACATCTGCTTAGGAAAGGTTAAAAGAAAAGTAGGATATTGTAAAGGTCCAGAAGTCATTTCTGGCTATTTAATATGCATACATGCTGTCTGACTGGTGTCCTTGATCTACATCCAACTACAACCAAATCTTAACTTAACCTAAAGCAACATTTACTACCCTCACTTGGAGCCCTCACACAACTCTGTCTTTCATGTCATTTTCTAAGACTGAAGTAATTATGAATGCATTTCCCTTGTATAGCCCTAACTTCATCTGTTTGTTCCTAACAAACAGAAACTTAATTGTACTTAATCTAGGGAAAAAAACCTCATATTGGTCATCAATTTCCAAGCAAAAAGAAACATAAAAAATCATTCACGATGAACTATTTATTCTGGTATGGAAACTGACAAACAGAGAAAGTGAAAAATGAACTTGAAAGCCAAAAATCTGAAAATTCCAGATTTTCTGTTCTGAAACCCATAGTGTTTTCAAGCTTACTGGTTAAGCCCTGCTGAAATAAAGAGTGGGGTGGGGAAATGTCATTCTTGTAGAATTTACCCTTAAGATCCAGATTTTTGGCTCCATTGATAACTTGAGTGACCATCTTAGTGTCCACCTTTAGACTGTGTGTGTTACTGTTATCTCTGGTGATGACAACATTGTGCCACTGGTTGTCATTGAGAGGACGGTCACTGTTGCCTTTAATAACATTGGGTCCATTCCCAAGGTCAAACACATAGTGTATATAGCTGTAAACATAATAAGAACCAGTTAAAATTAAACAACTCCAGCATTGATAAGATGATAAAGTAACATATACAATTCATGAAATAAAGTGTCTCTGGATTAGAAAGTTCTAGTTAACCAAAATTGAAGCCCCTGATTCAGAAAGGTGAGTTTTCTTTTCCACCATGTGTAAGGGTTCACATTTTGAGAGATTACATTTGAAGTAATCAGATTGTAATAATAAAGTATTCCTTTTTTTTTCTTTTTTTTTCTTTTTTCTTTTTTTTTTTTTAAAGTTCTTTTGGACCCACAAAAACTTCTGACTGTGCCTGTAATTATTTTTAAAAATAGGTAAGATCAATTGATGTAGTGGAGAGCAATGCTAGATATACTTATTTAGGGCACGTATTCCCCAGATTCTGAGTTCTGAGTAACCCTTTTGAAAAGTTAATTGGGAAACTCACTCAAAATATTGCACTAAAATTCACATGAGATCCTATGCTTATTCAAACAGCTGGAAAACAATCAGTTTATGTTTTTCCAAAAAGACTTGCTAACAAAGTTTGAAGTTGTGAGACTGTTACCCTGAATTGCTTATACAGTTCAAACACTGAAATCCACCTGAGGATATTCTTTTCAGAAAATGAAGACAAAATTCAAACCTCAACAGAGCTCATGACTTTTTTTTTATTGATTTATTGTTAGTCAATGTCTCACCTACAGAAACCCATGCAAAGTTAAAAAATAAAATGGACTAAACCTCAGTTATATTAAAATAAACAGGACTAGTTAAGTGTGTTTGTGGAATTCATGTTTACAGTGTCTAGATGTGTCAGTGACTACAAGACAAACATTTACTCAACTGATAAATGCACTTTTTTCCTTTTTAAAGCTATTGGCCTTGACAAAAGAATACACTGGCTCAAGAGCAAGCTCAGTTCACTCTATTTGAGCATCACTAGAAGGAACACAAATTTGGCAGCCCACAAGATCTTTATTCCTTCCATGGAGGTGGCAGAAACGCAACAGGTCAGTTACAGGGAAGGAGAGAAAAAAAACAAAAGGAACAAACTCGGAGCCCTCGGCATATTTTCTGCAAGATTAACAAGAAAAAAATGTAGACATAATCAAATCCAAAGGACTTCAAACTTTGTTTTTCACATACTGTAAACATGCCTTTCCCTAAGCCACAGGGAGAAAGTCAACATCAAAAATCAGGAATCTTAAGTTACAGTCCTTACATCCAACTGTTTTGTCATACACCTCAGAAAACAGAAAAATGTGAGACTGATTTTTCTATGCAAGAGTTTAAATTTCATCTATAAAATGAAACCCTGGTAGAAAAAGCAGAATGTTCACTTACCCCTTGACTAGCTCAACTGCAATGAAGTCATTACCATCACCGCTGTTAAAGAGTATGAAACCATCAGCTGAAGTGGTCTTGAACTGAAAGAAGAGGTGCATGGATGTATAAGCCTGCAAGGTGGCCAGACTCAAGTAGCTGCTCTTAGTCTTGAATGTCACAGGGTCAGCTATAATGTTGCGGAGACCAAAGCGTGCCTTCAGTTCACAGTAGTCAATATCACCATTCTTGCACAGGTCAATGTAGAGCATCCCATTGAACATGAGGCTCTGAAGGTGACCAATAAAGCTAGAAGGGATGACAGAAATGTAACGTTTCTCCGTCATGATCCCTGTCTCGATGTTATGGAACTCCAAGCGGGTGTGATCACCAACCATTGTGCCTGAAAAACAAAAAAGAAAGAAGAACAGGCAGAAAGCCTAGGCATCAGTAATAGGTTCTATGGAGTCCTTCACCCCCCCAGTTTCCAGACTTACAGCATTACTAAATTAATTCTACAAAAAAAAAGAAAAAAAAAGAAATGACAGTCTTGGTGAAGTAGCTTGAGTATACCGGCTGCAAGAACCTGGACAAAAACATTAAGACAGGACTGAAGGGTCATGAAAGTCACAGAAACATAGAATGGTTTGGATTGGAAAGGACCTTAAGATCATCTAGTTCCAACCCCCCTGCTATACGCAGGGACACTCCCCACTAGATCAGTCTGCCCAAAGCCCCACCCAGCCAGGCTTCGAATGCTCCAGGGAGGGGGCATCTACAACCTCTCTTTTTCTAGTGTCTGATCACCCTCACAAATAATTAATTTCTTCCTAATATCTAGTCTTAATCTACCCTCTTCCAGTTTAAAGTCATTTCTCTTCATTCTATGACTACATGCCTTTAAACAAAGACTATTGTTCTGGATTTTCATGACCAGCTGTTGGCAGCAAGACCAGGTCTGCAGGGAGATTGCTGTGAAGAGAGGTCAGAGACCATGCTGGCCCACATATGGCCATTACCAGTCAGTTCCAAAAAGCCCCCCCTCACCATCCCCTTGGACTCAGCTGCACCCCTCAGGTATGCTGGTAGCACCTCAAAGCAAAGATGCTTAAGAAAGGAGAAAATGCTGCATGGAAGTGAGGAAGAAGGAAAGAAAAGTGCAAGAATGCCCTGCAAACACTGAGGTCCGGGAAGGAAGAGGGGGATGAGGCACAGCAGGCACTAGAGCAGAGATTCTGCCACAGCCCATGGAGGACCGCTCCATAGCAGATATTCACACTACAGCCCAGAGGTGACCTCACACCACACCAGGCAGATGTGCCATGGAAGAATTGTGACCTGGGGAGGACACACACTGAGGCAGTTTTTCCTGACAGACAGCGGAGATGACCCATGCTCGAGCAGTTCAGATGCAACTGCAGCCTGCGAAAAGAACCCATGCTGGCACAGAAGAAAACTGCATGGAAGAAAGAGTTGCAGAGAACACTGCAACCTCCAAATCAACATCTTCCCATTCTGCTCAAGGAGATAAAGGAGTTGGCAAAGGAAGGTATGAAATTGAGTCTGAGAAAAGGAGGGGGAAAAATATTTAAATTTTTGTCATTATTTCTCACCATCTTACTCAATTTTTACTTGGCAATAAATTATTTTTCCTTGTGTTGAGCATGTTTTGTGCACAGCATTAAGGGGCAGCTGAATTCCTCATCTCTATGCTGAACCATGAGCGATCATCTTATTTTCTCTCTCCTTTTGAGGAGATGCAGTGAGCACAGCTGAGCTTCCAGCAGCTGGCCAGGGGCAGCCTCCCATTAGTGCTGATCAGCACAGCACACCAGGTAACCTCAGTCCACTTACAGAACTCCCAGATTATAAGATACCATTTTCAATTTTATACACACAACATTGAGGAACAGAGAGGTAAACATAGAAATGTGAGTTTGGATCTCAAACATTTGGTATCCAACTTAGCAGAATATATAGCTACTTAACTGTTCTCATTTGAGGCTCAGTACTTCTAGAGAAAACAGCCAAGATCCTAATAAGTTTCCACCCCACACCCAACAAAAGAAGATAGGTACAATTAGAGACTATATGTGAAGTATCTGACTTCAAGCCACTTTCTGCAGCTTTTCATAGCAACTCTAAGGCAGAAGAGTCAGTTCCTCTGGGCAATATTTGGATGCCTTATTAGAAGTTTTTTTTTTTTTTTTTTTTTTTCCATGCTGTCTCTTTCAATACAGACTAATCAGTGTGATTCTTAAAAACAGGTCCCTTCTTTACTATACAGCCCTACATCAGCTCTATTGGTTCTCCTACTGCAGAAATGTTTTAACACACTGGTGAAGTTCTACCAGGTTTAAAAGAATAAAAGGCACAAAAATACACTAGTTTTGTGAAAAAACTGATACCAGATAAAGACATGCTAATTATTTGGAATGGGATACAGATAAGAAGAATTTATCAATAATATCATGCTGGATTGCATCTGTTGGTCAATTAGCATGCATACACAGCTCTTGACTAGCCACTGCAGAAGTTATATCTGAGATACTGAGAGTGGATCTGTAAGCCTCACTGTTCACTATACTTCAATTTCAAGAAAAACTCCTCTTTTAATTTGCCTGAGAGATCCACTGGACTTAGAAGCTTCCTCATCCTTAGTACTGCCACCTGAGATCTGCTTTCATTTCTCACCTAACTCCCAGATTAAGAAACAAAATCTTTCATCACTTCTATTTGTAACATATTGTTGTTGGTTTTTTTCCTGTTGTCTGAACTAATTGTTTATATGACGAGTCAAATTAGGTGAGCTGACAGTCTCTAACTTGCTTAGGCCTTCTTCAATACTAAATATCCAACTCGCCTTTCATGACCAAACACTAAGTGAAATTTTTCAACTTATACTTTGAAAAACTTGATCACAGTTTGACAAAGACTGTAAAAAGGAAGTTGTTAGAAAAAAAAAAGTGTTCTCAAGTATTTACTCAAAATACAAATATAAAAATGTGATTTTTTTTTCTTTCTTTTTGCTTATTCCCAATTTCAACAGTAGATCTAAATTTAGAGACAGTTATACAAAGACCTTTGACATGGAAATCAGCAACCCAAGCACATAGATTGGACAAATTTACAAGTAAATGAAAGCAGTCACATACTCCTGACTATTCAGAAATTCAATCTGTAGTACAAATACAAATGTTTTAAAATTGTGAAACAGTCCTTTATATGAAATATTTTATTCTGACAAAATGTCAGGTCATAGGCACTGAAAAAAATCTGGGTACGGTAAGTTTCTTTAGACAAACTATTTCTTACCCACCTTTAAGACTTTCTTTAGTATCATCACCATTTACCAAACAAAAATTTCTAACTTTTCTAAACCAAGAGAATTGTATTTCTCTTTTGAAAAAAATAACATTTCAATCCTGTTTTTTTCCTGTTTTGTTTTGTTTTTTATTTTTTTTTTAAACTTCAGCAGGTTGGTAAACTAAAAATGTAGAGATGTCAGGTACCAAGAGCAGGGAGATTCTTCTACTCTTAATTAGATGCAAAGAACAATTTGTGAGAGTAGGGGATACAAAGCTAGGCCTTTGAAAGCTGGAATACACTGGGATAGGAAACACATACAGGGGGAATTAAAAATTGAGTGAATGAGGTTGGAAGAGGTAAATTCAGACTTTTAGAAGATGTAAGAAATGGGAAAAATGAGACTGTCTTAAGAAAAATAGGACAGCAATGGCAGTACAGATAGTCAGGAGAAGTTCAGCGAAAGGCTGAAAAGAGCATGATATCACAGGACAGAGGTATCTTCTCGTAAAAGACCACAGGGTTAAAATCTGGTATCTTCAGGTCTCAGCAGCTGTCAGTCCTAGAGTTCTTCTCATTTGCTTCATTCTGGTCTGTACAGAGTATTTTAACAACTACCACATTCAGCAGCTTGTCAGTTCAAGTGGTAGCAAACAAAGATTTCCAGCCTCTACTGTGGAATTCGGGTGCTAATAAGATGCTGTGGAGAGAAATATGCCTGCTGTACTTACACATCATTTACCACTGATATTCAGTGGTCAGTTACAGTGAGAAGGGAGTAGAAGAGTTTTGTGATTAAGCAGCAAAATGCTGTCCAGAGGAACTGGATGATGACTCTGCCTTAAGCTGCCTGTAGGAAGCCAGTAAGTCAGAAAGTCCATGGCAAATTTTTCACAAGTGATCGTTAACTGTCTTGATACAGTTCTCCCAGTAGCAGAAATGAGATAATAGAACCCAATTTACAGACTTGCTGAATAGTCACACACATAAATGATTGAGAAATCATGTCAAAATTGTACCAAATGCACCTAACTTTGATTTGATGCCTTCGAAACCTGTAAAAGGGGAAAAAAACTCCTACTCACTTCATAAAACAGACAAAGGAGTGAATCTAGATACAACTTCTTACTTCCACATAAACATATTGGTGAGTGGCATACACAAGGGGAAAAAAACAGCTCTATATTAAGAACAAAATTTAATTTGCGTGCATTGTTCCAAACGAGCAACAATCAATTAGGTTGCTTGTTTTTAATGGGGGCCTAATTTAGACTTCTGATCTATGCCTAAAGAGAGCATGAATCCAGTGGAAAAATCTATGTGACCACATCTAAAACTATATCATATATCCCAGGAAGCAGAATGCAGATTGCACAGGAAGTCTTAACTCTGGTTTTGACTTTTGACTTCACTGTGGCGGTCGTCTTTTAATAGATATTTTTAGCAGCAATGCATCTTTAATTATGTAATTCATGTACATATGCAGATCCTATTTTAGTATAGGATTGTATCATTATTATTTATAAACACTGTTTCACAAAAAATGGACTATGAAAAACAGATGGCATTTCTGGGGACTGAGTTACAAATGCAGAGAGTGCCACCTCATGGTACTTGCTGGAAAAAAAACAACTCATATCCAGAGAAGCTGTTCTACTAAAATGCAAAAGTAAAAAAGATGATGCATTTACCTGCATGTTTCACTAATTCAGAAAGATCCCACTTGAATAAAATTTCATTTTCCTCCAGGCTAGTGTTGATCAAGTCTCTGCCAATTCTTACAAGGCAATTTTTTCATTCATATTCTTCTTCGATTCTCTCTTGCAAATTATCAGCTTATAGCACAGGATATATTTACTTCAGAGGGAAAATTTACATTAAGTCATTTTCCTGCAAACCCCTATCTTTGGACTTATTTCAAAATCCTACTCCTGGCCTACCAGACAATCTCATTACCACATTACTTACAATTAATTATATTTACACAGTAATAAAAAACATTTTGCAGAGATAGGCAGCTCCAGAAACATATATCCTACAGTAGCTGTTCTCTCTCATTGCTTTCTGAGTAGAAGCTTGTAGAGAGGACACCAGCATTTAGCAAAACAGCAGTGGATACAAGTAAATGAATATACTCTTATCAATGTTGCCTTAATGTTCTTTGTGATCCTATTGTCAGTCTTGAATTCTATCGTCAGTGTGAAACTCCTGGTGTTTTTCTTAAAAACTCAGTTTCTACAGTTGTACAGCTTTGAGAAATTTTATATTATTATTCAAAAAATGAAAAAGGTTTCTGTCTCTTCCAGCTGTGGAGAAATAGACAAGAAATATCACATATAAAGATCTTTTTTTCTGCAATGAAAAAAAAGATCATTGTAAAGTAGTTTGGTCATTTTTGTGCAAATCTCCTAACTTGGGACACATCTTTTTTTCCTCCTCTTCAATTCCATTTCTACAAAAAGAAGCATAAGCTTAAAAATCTGTCAGAGAATGCAAGAAAAAAAAAATAAGACTGACACATTCCGTGTGTTACAATAAGCAATATTTCAGTGAGTTAGGGTCCTTCCTAATCTCTTGAAGAAAGCTGAGAGCAAAGTGTTCTATTTGCCCTTTCTTCTGCATGGCTCTAAGCCATGGGCACAAGAATTTTAAAAACAATAGTAGAGACAGAAGTCCACATTCTTTACCATATCTATCAAATGCAGGTTTTAACTTCCAGGAAAAGTTTGTTCAAAGGAAAGTTTTAGAAGGCTTAAGCTTTCATTCCACAGCACAGGAAATTGCCACACTCGCAGCTCAGGAATGAGGTGTACTCAGAGCCTATCTGAGCCAGGCACAAGAGTATGTGATGTTCAACACCTTTGTGCTTTTGACTATGTGCAAGCTCATTTGTCTCCTAAGCGCATAACTCAGATATGATTATTGGCTCAGAACCTTCTGGAACTGGCTGGGAACAGTTCTTGTCACAGAGCTGAACAATAGTTTTCAGCATAGCACTATTAAGTACACAGAAAGTGACGAGCATCAGCAAAAAAAAAAAAAAAAAGAGGAGAGAGACAAAAAGACAGGGGGAATGGATGTAAAAGCAGAGAAGAGATGGGGAGTAGAGAACAACAGTAATAACCAGAACTACTTATACACTGCACTCACCCTCAGCAACGTCATCATCCACCATCAGTTTGAGGCTCTTTCCACGTCGAACTACCCGAACAGTGTGCCACTCATTGTCGTTTAGTTTCTGCCCCGCATAAAGAGTTTCAGGTCCCTTGCCTGCAGATGGTGATAGGTTTGACAGTTAAGAACAGACTTCAAATTAGTTCAATATCTGACCAATTGGAAAAGTCACCAAAATCAACCTGGTGCAATACAGACTAGGAAACTGGGTAGGTGCATTATTGCCTGCAATCAACCCTCAGAAGTACGCCTTTCCAGCTCAAAGGGAGTCAAGGGTCACAAACATTTATACTCAGAGCAGTGCCTTTCTCTCCAGAGGTCACACATATATCACAAGAGATAGAAATCCCTCTGGTGCTATAGTACAGGGCACGGCAGTATTAGAAAAATGAGTTGATGACAGAAATAACTCTAGGGTAAAGTAACCATTTACAATTTTTTCTCTCTTAAGAACCTTCATTTACACTAGTCACAAGGGATTCTTTTCAGAGTTAATCACACTGGCCTCCCAACACTTAAGTATCAAACACCAGGCTGTTTTCAGTCTTTCAGTCTCAAAAATAAAGAATTAACTCAAAAAAAGAAATATAGTAATAACAATACTACAGAAAGGCTATCAGTACCACTCACCACCACCTGGCTGATTGCTCTAATGTTGTTTCACAGAGTAGTCTGGCTGTACTTACACAGGGTGCTTAGCGTGCCTTGAGTTATGTGTCAATAAAGAAAGAGGAACCCATTTCTCTCCAAAAAAGTATACCCACAGTTGTCCTTGCAAGCAATGCTCCTGGAAAAACAGCATTTGTGCTACCCATATTCATCCAGTTTTGCTCTCACCCACCATGGTTGACAGGCAATTACTTAAAACATTAATTGTTCAGATTATAGAATTGGAATAGTTCACTCATGTCAAATGGTAAGCGAAGAATGGTGTGTGCTAAATTTAAAAAAAAAAAAAAAAAATCTGTGCTCATTTCAGCACAGTACTTAAGTTTTTTGACAAAGGTGTATCAGAGAAACACACAATAGGACAGCAGAACTTTTTGCTCATGAAGCTTGGGCTCACTGCTCAAAAAAGCAAAATTGGAAACCAGCAAGGAAAAGCAAAGATATATTAAACATATTAAGAGCAACAAGACAGGAATAACATAAGGAACTAGAGTGGCTCAACTTACTGCGTTGGTAAAATGAAATGTCAGATATACAGGTTATATCCCATAGTTGCTCAATTAAAAAAAAAAAAAAAAACAGTGTTTTTAATTCAGTTACTTTGACCAGTTTTCATGGAATGGGTTACTATACAGTCCAACTTCACTGAGAGAATGAAATACACACATCTTGGAGCAAAGCTCTGCACAAAGGGGACGCACCCACTCTGGTCTGTGTCGTGGTGCACACTAATAAGGTCTACACTAAGAGTAGCATATTATACAGTGAAACAGAACTGAAGGAAAGGGGTAGGAATCATATACAGGGACAACAGACAGTCCAGAGTATGCATACTACCTAACTAGCAACATTATGGTAACTTCATCTTCCTGATAGGGAATGTGGGCAAAGCAGGCATCATTTCATTCAGCTAAGATGTAACATGCTAGGGGAATCATACAGGAAGAAACAGTAACAGAATGAATGTTGTGTCATTCCCAATGGGGGTCATGCAGTTCATGTGAACAAAAAGGCAGAGTGATCCCCTTCCAAATGAAGTCTGTTGCTATCCAATTTTAACACAGAGCAAGAGGAAAAAAAAACCTCTTTCTACAGTGATCTGAAAAATGAGAAGTCATTCTCCATTTAAAAGGCCGGGGAGTTATACTGCAATTACAGAAGATACTTCTTTGACAGGAAACCCATAACCCCTGCAGTTTCTCCATCTTTGTGCCAAAGGCACACTGCACCATGAATGTAATCCTAGCAGCAAGATCACAGCTAGAAACCTTATGTTCTATTGAATTAGGCAAGCTAAAACTCTATTTAATAGAATTTTTAAAAGTTACAATAGATTTACATTAGTGAGAATACATTTTTTTCTAAAGTGTGTATTACGAAAGGATGCACATGGATGACCTGTAAAATTAATGCCTATATCAGAACATACCAAATCAGTTATTGTAGTTCTACACAGCCATATCTTAGGTCCAAATGACCTCCTAGTGTGTCTGTAAGATGCCATCTGACCAGATAATACAGAGTTTTCTAGGCAACTGCATTCTATATGGTTCAGCAGCTCAAGGTGACTGATCACTTTTCAATTCTAGCCTGACAAAGTGGGAATCGACCAAAAAGAGCTTGCTTGGCTTATCACTGCCATCTTAATGTCCACTGTAACACTTTGAAAAGAAAATTGGAACAATTACAGAAGTTATCTGACTAGATCCACAGAAAATGTATATTAGTCAGTTCAGAAATGAATGAAAGTTTTAGGGTTTCCAACTTTTTTCCAAAAGAAAAGGTTGCCCACAAATGAGACTGCTATCTAGTTAATAGTTTGTGCTCACGAATTTGAAAATTAAGCACTATGAATGCAAACAACTTCATGTTTACTGGTCCCTGACTTGATCAGTTTAACATTAATCAGTCTAGAAAAAATTAAATAAGAGCTTTAATACTTCATGCATAAGCCTCCATTTTGTACGCAATAGTAAGCATGGGCTTCTTTTCATTGAGTTCCCTGAACAATAATGCATACAAAAAAAGCCCCACATACCCATGAGAATGCTTGAAAGCATCCATTGGTCATATCTGAAATTCAAAGGAGTGCTTACAAACAGTATTTCACTGCTGTTTAAAAATGCTTTGAAGACATTTATGTACCAAGTGGGTTGACCCAAAAAGCTGCAAAATCATGTCCCACTTTTTCAACTGACAGCACAAATGAATTGCTGCTCCCTGAATCCCAGTGAATTCAAAGCAGTTCCAGAAACTGCATAAAGTGATTGCCACATCTGGATGCCAAACCTCATCTCACTGAGCAAGGTGACTACACATGCTGTTATTACACAGATATTTATATGTGGTCAGTTTTTAAGAGGACTTGAAGATTCCCAATTCAATAGTTGCAGATACTGGGAAATAAAAAAGAAATGAGTCACAATGTGGTGGGGATCCAATTCTCTCCTTAAACACCCAGTGAGACACATATATGGTCTTACAGCTAAATACAAAAACAAGTGCTTTGACAGAAGAGTTTTTGTCCCCAACTTTCAAGCCATCTTGCATATCACCCTTTATCTATAGAAATGCAAGTATACGAAGTGGCAAAGCAAAAGGGTAGTTGGTCAGATAAAGTCAAAGATGTGCATCTTCCATTTGTGTATTGTTTATCAGAAAACACAAGGAGCCAAAAGAATGAAGTAGTGCTGTCATAAGTTGGATGCCTGGCAACACTATTTATAGCTGGGCATTAGACAATTTTTGCATTTTTTTTTCATTTTTAAGTGAGAACAAGTAAGGGGCAATTTAACAGGAAAAACAACCACAGAATTTCTACTTCCACAATAACTTAACTATTAAGCAACCAGAGTACGATTCTTATGAATCTAGAAAACACCTGCATGCGTCTCCAGCCTTCTTGGTCCTTCCAGCACCATAATAATATCTAAGAAATGGCATATCACTCAGAAACAATCATTACCTGCCATTTTTCAATTCACATGAGGCAGGCTAATACGTACTCTCTCACTGCAGTGGCAAACATTACCTAATCAGAAGGAGAAAGAAATATCTCATGTGCCCCCATACTCCGACAGAATTAGTCTAGTGGCAGACTGAGGTTTCCTGAGCAAAGATTACTTGACTCAGCTGCAGCAGCTCCTCCCCATGATCCCATGAATCCTTTGAAATCTAGTTAATATTCATGTGCATGTAGTTCACATGAAATAAATATTATACACTTTCAAACATGGAAAAACTCCATCCAGTTGGCCCAGTACGTCCAAATCTTTATTTCTATATCAAAGGTGCGCTGCTGCCAGTTAATAGCTTGGTCCCAATAGATAATAAGCGTCAAGAAGAACGCAACGAGTATGAACAAACAGAGAGCAGTTCATGCCTTTTGAAAATAACAAGTTGCTTTCCATCTGGCCCCTCAAAACTCGCTCATTCAGAGCAAACAACTAGACTAAGGGATGCATTTAAAACAAAGCTCGGAAAGCATCAGCTGTTACCCACCCTAATCGGCTAACAGCATAAAAAACTCCCTCCCGTGAAAGGCAAAGGATTAATCCTCTCACTATTTTCTCACAGTTGGATCAAAGAGTGTGCCTTTACCCTGAATGTAGGCTGTAATCATGTGATCCCTTTATATGATTAAAACAGACTTCTTGAAACAAGGCTAGTTTCATTATTGTTTATCTTATCCTTCACTATAGATGAGGTCAAACATATCAGAAGAGACAACCAGAAAGGACACTGCCAGACTGATGAGAATGAGAAAGACTCTTCCTCATTACAATTACAACAATAAATAATTCTACAGGGGTAAACAATGCTATTTAGAGAAGACCAACAGTAACAATAAAATTTTTTATCTGCATTTATTTTTATTTAAAATACTCAGCTGTCATTTAAGTTTTGCTCACTGTCAGGAAATATTTTTGCATATTTTATACTTTGTTTAGGGATGCCATCAGCACCCCAAGGCAAGGATTTATATTCATTTTTTCCTCTTGCTCTGAGGAGAGGTGTTTAGGTTGTTTTCACTGATGTGCTAACAAAATGTGATTCATCACAAAAAACGTGTGCACAGGCTTGTGAAACATAAGGATGAATCATGGAAACAAGATAGATTCCCTCAAAGCTTAAAGGAAAATAATCTACTAATCTGGATAGACTTTAAAGAATATTTAGATGTGACTAATTAAACTGCAGAGTTGTCCGACAGAGCAGAACAGAAAAGAAATTTTATATAGAGCCAGGAGAAAAAACTGGAAAGCTTTTACAAGAATAATTAACATTAAGCAATTATTATAACATCACTTGAAAATACTACATCAAGATGTAATACTCTTACCTGATCTTAACCAAAACTCTCCACCAAATAATATTAATCTTTTAGAATATATATTTAGCAATATACCTGAAATGATTTTGCATAA